AATAGGAGTGGTTGCATAGACAATTTATCAAGTCAGCAAGTATTATTGAAAACTTGCTCTGTGTCAGGCACTGTCCTAAATTCTAGAAATATACGGTGGGACGGTGGGTTAGACAAGTTCTGGTTCACAGAGCTGACATTCTAGCACGTGTGGGAGGCAGGCAGTGAATAGATACAATCAATGGTGGAGAGACAGAGCAGGGTGCAGGGTGCAAGAAGGCCCCGCAGATGCCTTTGCAGGTGACAGGGGAGGGAAGGCCTGGATGAGCAGGTGCTGTGTGAACAGACACCTGAGCTCCCGAGGCAGGGAGTCATGCAGACACGGTGGAAGGAATGAGAGGAACAATAAGAGGGAGAACAGCGAAGTCCAGATGAAAGAGTAAGAGGCCCTGGGGTCGGAGGGGAAGGAGGAAGGGGCAGAGCACTGGCAAGGAGGGCAGGAGCGCACAGCAAGCCGGCCAAAGGCCTCGAGAGCCATGGCAAGGATTCTGGATGCTTTCTGAGAGAAGGTGAAGCCACTGGAAGGTTAAGCACAGAACATTTGAAATGAGAGTGATAATGAAATGTCAGCATTGACGTAGGGATAGGAACATAAGATGGGAGAGCTCTGACCCTCTGTCTGGTTGTTCCTTGTCTGGGTCAGTGTGACACGAAGCCATTTATCTTTTGCCCCTAAGTGGCAACACTTCCTGGGGAGAGTCCTGATTCCGCTTGATGGCACCGCTCAGCTGTGAGGATGAGAGGACATGTTGAAATGGGAAAGAAGCCAAATGAAAATAATATTCTTATGTATGTTAAAATATGAAATAATAATAAAATTTGCTGCTCTGGATCCTACATTTATTGTTCCTTAGGTTTAGAAATTTCTTCCCAAATGCTCTCTCTGCACCCAATTTATTCACCACCCAATTTATGCTTAAATGTCACTGAAGAGGCTGACTTCCAATCTCAGTTAAGTCCCCTTGTTATGCAGCAGCTGCACCCTATGCTTTTTCTCCATTATACTTGTCAGTTTGTTTATAATTAAGAATTTGGTGATTTAATTGTTGTTTCCTTCCCACACTTTGGGAGCTGATCTTCATGAAGTGCTGGCATATAGCCCTTGCAAGTACTGCAAGTGTGTGCTCAATACTATCGCTTCACAGTAAACCAAGGTAGAGAAAGCAAGTGACTTGCTCCAAGCCACTTGGGTGAGTAGCAGAGCTGGAGTCCTGACTCAAGGGTCTGACGTCAGAGCCCCTGCTCTTAATCCACCATTAGCCTCATATATTTGAGACTAGGGGCCATGGGTGCGTGCTTGGCTCTAATTAGGTGAAAGAAGACATTTTTTAGACATCATCATTCAAAACTGATCCATCCTTGAGATTTGAATATAGAGCACTCTTCTCCAGCCATAATTTCTAACCCAGGACGGGTAGGTGTTGCGGACGGACACCTTTTGCTTGGGCCCCCACACACTTCACTCCACCCACTGTGTATAACATGCCTTCCTTGGCCTCTTCCTAGCTACTCAATGGTGCTCTATAGATTCCTTCCCCTTCCCGGAGCTTCTAGTCTGGCAAACTCATACTCACTCTCATTCTGAAAAAATGGCTTTGCATGGGGTAGCTATGTGACAGAAGTAATTCTTCCTAAGTCTTAGTTTCTTCACTTATAAATATGGGTTATATGGGATTTTAGCCATGAGGCTGCACAAGTGAAGCACTCAGCAGTACCTGGCACAGTGAGGAAACTTAGTGCAAGCCAGCCAGCCTTTTACCATCTCTTCGTTGGTACACATAATTCATCAGATTTGTTTCTGGGTTTCCTTTCTCCTAGCTACTTAATTGCTTCTCACCTCCACCCTTTTAGTTTTTAAGGAATGTTTTTATTGTCTCTTAACACAGCTTAAGCATCCCAGAAAATATTTCCTACTCTAATATCTACCACCAAGCATGCAAACCACCACTAGCAAGGAGCTGAGATTTTCCGGGAAAAGCATGGGAAGCAGAATCTTTATCCCACCAGGCACCAGGGGAGGGGCGGGTTGGGGGTTGTCACTAACTGTGCTGTCATGCTTTCTCATCTTAAGTGGGGAACAGCAGTTCCTCCTCTCCACAAGGTGCTGGAAAATGAAATGAGGTGGAGTATTTTTGAGAACAGTTCAGTAATTATACATTTGTTCTTTTGTTCATTCCTTCCCTCCTTTTATTTTCCATTAGTAGCTCTAGTAGAAAGTGGCCAAGAGTCCAGAATACAGAGTCAGAGGAGAAAATTCAGATCAAGTATCTCACCTCATAAATGAAGCTAACTAATCACCCTACAAAACTGGAATTTATGATCTAAGTCATCCTTTCATATTCTTCTCGGGTATAAAAAGTATCTTAATGTGACACAATAATCTTAGACAATTTAAATTGGCATGAAATGATGCAATGAGAATTGGGTAACCAGTAATAATTTAGGAGAAAAATTAATTTAAGAATGGTGTCAGGATGAGGATCTCCTTATTGGTTGACGTAAGTGGAAATTACTCTTGGAGCCAAAGGTGGAGAGAATTTAATTCAACTCCCATAAGGCTAAATGATTTACTCACAGTCACCAGCTTTTCCTCTAAGATTTAGTAGGTATTGCTCTAGGGAAATAGACCATGCCAATTCATCAAAGTTTGAAGACAAGGGAATAAAATATGAAGTATAATATTAGCAACAAGCATCTATTATTTATAGATGATATAGTTGTATATTGGCACAACCAATATACCAGTTGAGTATTCAACTGAAAACTCAAAGAATAAAAGTATAGATGACTGTACCAAAAATAATCTGTAACAAAAAGTTCTTGTTTTTTTACAGTCATTTAGAAACTATAACATGAAATATTGAGGAGTAAACTTAGTAAGAGATGTCCTACACCCTGAAGTATAACACTTCCATAAGGGATGTAAGACTCGAGAGAGTCTTAAGAATGGGAGAAATATTCCCCATTCTTGCAGAAGAACTTTCAACTTCGTAAAATGTAAGGTATTCCTAAACATTGTACAAAGTAAATGCAACACCAACACAACTCCCAGAAGACTGCAAAATTTGGGGGGAAAACTTGGCAAACATTCTAGTTCACCTCAAAGAACAATTGTTGAGAAGAAACATGAGCAGTAAGCATTGACGTCAAGTATTAAGGAGGGCCTCGAAGGCTCAAATATGCCAGTATAAAGCTCTAACCATTAAAACAGTAGGATGCAGGGCTACTAGGCTGGCACCATCAGTAAAGCATGTAACTGCTGATCTCAGGATTTTAAGTTCAAGCCCCACGCTGGGTGTAGAGATTACTTTAAAATATCAAATCTTTAAATAAGAAAGGAATAAAGAAAGGTAGATAGATAATAGGATATAAATACAAAATGAAACAGTCCCAGAAGTCTTAATTTGGCACAGGACATAAATGTGACATTTGAAATCAGCAAAGAAGTTAGATTACTTACAAGTACCACGACAGCTGATTTGTCAAGGAAAATATGAGTTGAATTGTGTCCGCCGAGAAGATATAAAGCCCTAACCCCTGGTACCTATGAATGTGATCTTATTTGGAAATGACCATTGTCTTTAGAGACAAAGATTTGGACACAGAGACACACAGGACAGAATGCCACGTGACAAGAGGCCGCAGCTGGAATGCTATAGCGAAAACTCAAGGAAAACTGAGGGTTGCCAATTACCACCAGTGGCTAGGAATAGGCAAAGAAGGATCCCCCTAAAGCTTTCCAGTATAATCTGGACCTACCTCTGAACAGTGAGGGTTTATATTTCCATTGATTGCTTCAAGCCACTCAAGTTCATGGTAATTTACTATGGCAGCTTACTCCTTATACAAAAAAAAAAAAAAAAAAAACTAGAGGGGGAAAAGAAGAATTAAACATAGATGAAATAAACAATGACCCTCAAATAATATAGAAAATGTGGGCATAAGTTCATATCTTCTAGGGAGTTTCTTAAAGATGGAAGTTAAAGATGAATAAATTTGACTTTATAAATGTTTTAAACATGTGCAGGATAAGAGATAAACTATAAAATAAATATATAATTCATGGCAAAGGATACAGTCAACAGAAAAATAAACAGTACCCAAAGGAATGCACAAAGGATAAGATTAGGCAATTGCTTAAATTTAAATATAAAACCATGTACCCTATTCACCTGTGGCAGTGGTGTCTATGATTAGCACAGGCCTTTTAGAGAGCAGTTAACTTGCCTATTTCAATCATTTCTTATTTTTGCTTTTCCCCTTTCTAATGTATGCTTTTAAGGATTTATTTTTTATAATTTTCATAGAATAGATTGAGTTCTGAAAAGGATATGTATTTTTATGAAATATATGTACTTATATATTAGTTAAAATAGCAGTTAAGACATTGTTCCCAAATAAGTGAGTATACTAGTTTCACCAAAATCTCACTAGTATTTACATTTTCCCCCACTAATAGAAAAAAATAGCACCTCATTTTAATCTGTACTTTTTAAGTGAAGGGAAATATTTCTCCCTGGTTAACTTACTCATAGAAGTTGTATTTAAAACATATTTTTGGTCAATTAATTTATTTGAATCTTAAAATTTACTACCTTCTTAGTAATTCCCAAGAACTCCTTGTGTAATATAGAAATTAACTCTTGGTTTGTCTCTCACTGGGGACTCTCTCTTCACACCACATGCTTCTCAGGGCTCCCACCCATTCCAATGGTTTTGACCACCATCTTTATGTTAAAGACCCCTCAATCCTCATGCTCAACAGAAAATCCTTTTTTTCCCCTCCCCAAACAGCTTGGAATAGTGTTAGGTACCCTGGGTGGTATAACTGAAATAGAGACCATAAAAGGACCATTTTTAAAGATTACATTATTTTTAGCACCATTTTAAAGATTAGATATGAATTAGAAAATAATTCCATAGTCTTAGTGCATAGAAACAACAAATGGATAAAAAATACTACATTAACTGCCTGAGTGCTTGAATAAATGAGTACCAAAATCAATTTTAAACATATTTTATTTACAAATCTCTAAATGCAATGTTCCATAAAAAAATATATACATGTTTCTATTTACATATTCTTAACTAAGTCTATTGATTTGAATTACAATTTAAATTCAATTTTGGAAAGCTTTCAGGATTTCTTCTGAAAGTAAACATTTAAAAATACTATATACATAGGGGCATCTGGGTGGCTCAGTCGGTAAGTACCGACTTGATTTCAGCTCAGGTCCTAGCCTTAGGGTTGTGAGATCAAGTCCTGCATCAGATTACACGCTGAACATGGAGCCTGCTTAAGATTTTTTCTCCTTCTTCTTCTGCCTCTCATCCTCACACTCATGCTCTCACATTCTCTCTAAAAAAATAACAACTATATACAGACTTCCAAAAACAAATACCATGCTGAGGCACAAAAAAAAAGAAAAAGAATCTATTACAGGTCTTGAAGTGATTAGAAAGGGCCCTGCGGCATCTTACCTACTATCATAGGAAGCAGGGTTCTTAAGAGCTTTCACAGTTACTCAACCCATCTAGATGGAAAATTTCAAATGTGACAGTGGTTTGTTCTTTCAAAGCCTCTGCAGTTTTCAGACCAAATGTGACAATGCCAGAGAGGCTCTTTGCACTTTATGTACACCCAGATACTCTTATTTGGTTGATATTGACAAAGAATAATTTCTGAAATCATGATCCTATCATGAAAGCAAGAAAACTGTTCAGGAAAAGCCAATCCTTCAAAGTTGCTGCAACTTTGTTGATCTTAGGAAAACTCTCCAGAATCTGCCGTAAGTCTATAACCAATCAAGGACTCCTTAGTACCCTCGTCCACAAGCAGATCCACTAACACATGTGGCTTGTCATAACCAAAGGAGGTGGTGGTGTTTCTCAGCATTACAGTCTCCTGTTCTCCGGTCTTTATTTCAGTTCTATTATTTGGGGGAAGTTCTGAGTCAGATAAGAAGCTGTCCGATTCCACAACGCCACTGTCAGAACCATTTCTGGAGTGATAGGAGTTGAAAGCGACAACACAGGGTTCAGACTGGTTACTATTTGAATGGACAGAATTCTCTGTCATTCCTGGGGTCAGAGGGCGCCTAGAAGCCATGTCAGAAGTGTTCTGTTCAGTGGTCACCACTTCTGTTTCACTGAAAAGGTCTTCTCGGGGTTCCATTTTTCCGGCATTATCTTCAGTAGGCATACCTACAATTGTTGCTGGCGACAACTGCTCTTCCCAGACCATCTTCTCATTTTCTGGGACAATTGGCTGGTAGGTGACGGGTGATACACATTTTGATTCAGATTTTGTCTCCGAAGAGGCATTTTTTACCACAGACAGCTAAGGGAAGAGAAGTCAATGATTAAAAATAATAAAGTAGTAAGCTTAAGTGCATATCCTTTAAAAGTCATCGTCTAAGGGTAACGGACAATGAAATATACCACTAAAGGGCATACTTATGGGAACAATGTAGCAGTATCAGGTGGTTGCCTTTTCTTGCTTTTAAATGAAAATACACTATATTAAAAATAAGTTTTAGAATTTTTAAAAAGTCATCCACCATCTAACCAGTATGTGCTGTTTTTTTCTATATTGTCTCCACATGTATGCACATTAAATTTGTAATGGGAGTACACCTATTTATATAATATTTTCACCATTCATCTTCATAATTATAATTTTTATTAGAATTTTCACTGCCTCATATAATTTCTTTATACTGATGATTAATTTCTCTAAGAGCAAATATTGAAGAGTTTCCAATTTTTATTATTTATAGAACATGCTGAAGTGAATATTTTTACACATCTTTTTATTTATGGAGTTTTTTAGTTTTTTAAAGAATAAATCCTTAAAAGTAGAATCACTAAGTCAAAGGCTGTGGCATTGTTTATGGCACTACTACACTCCATATCCATTATACGCTTACCTTTCTACCAGAGTTGTATTACTTTTACCAGTATATATCAGTTTTACCACTACTGATACTACTGGATAGTCAGGTTTATTTTTCTTCTCTAATGGGTATAAAGTTACATACTACAAAGTCACTTTGTGCTTACTTATTTATCCTAAATCAGTAAGAATAAATACTATAATTCATACATGAATTGCCTACCACTGATCATTCTTATTCACTTTACATAAAGTGCTTTCAAAACAAATTGAAATGGGTCCTTTGCGTGTTATAGAGGTATTATTCCTGTCCTATTTCATTCAAACAGTTACCATTCTGTTACCTGTAAGCGTTTTCATTATACAAAAGGCTTTTATTTTCTTTAAATTTTTTTAAATTTTTAAAAAATTTATTTATTAATGAGAGATACAGAGAGAGAGGGAGGCAGAGACACAGGCAGAGGGAGAAGCAGGCTCCATGCAGGCAGCCCGACATGGGACTGGATCCCCAGTCTCCAGGATCACGCCCTGGACTGAAGGCGGGGCTAAACCGCTGAGCCACCGGGGCTCCCTACAAAGGGCTTTTAAATGTTAGACATTAAAACATCAAGCTTTCAAACTCCTGGGTTGCCTGGGTGGCTCAGTCAGTTAAGCATCCAACTCTACTTCAGCTCAAGTCATGATCTTGGGTCCTGAGATTGAGCCCAGCATCAGGCTCCGTGCTCAGTGGGGAGTCTGCTTAAGGATTTCTCTCCCTCTCCCTCTGCCCCTCCCCCTGTTCATGTGCGTGCATGGGCGCGCTCTCTTGTGGCCATCTTTCCTTCTATACTCCAACCATAATGATGTTTCTGTATTTTTGGAGTTTCAGAAGCCATGCTTTCTTGATGCTAGGCTTTAGCACATACTATCTCTTAGTACTTGGATAAACTCCTATCTGTCCCTCAAGACTGCTTAAGCATCACTGCCTCCAGAAAGGCCACAACTAAGCCCCACCCTCCAAAGATGGACAGTCCTCATTGGCATGCACATAAACTTCTACATTTGAACACCATACTCCCACTGAATACTTATTTTCTTCTCCCACTAAACTTTAAGCTCTTAACAGACTTATCCAATTATGCTCTTGTTCTGTACATTAAAAAGTACCTGATGTGTAGTAAAAATTATGTGGTTTTGGATGTGTGGCAGATTGAGTGATTTATGATAGACTGACATGCTGCTGAACATCATTCTAACTTACAAAGAAATTAAGAAAACTATCAAAAAGGTACGAATAAACACTTTACGGTATATAATTAAAGAAAAATATTTAAATATGTTACCAAGGACTTGGGTAACATGATGCTTTCTCTCTTAAATGGATTCATCTTCTTAATGTAACAATACACAAATACCAGGATAAGTACTAGAAAAAGTAGGAGAGCAGCAACAATTGGAATCCAAACAGAATCTAAAAAAAGGGAAAAATCACAAATTAGAATTAGGATAGAATACTGCTATATCTATGAAATAGTTTTAAAGTCTTAATGCTGTTCTTTAATAGATTTGCCAACTGGGAAATTAATATGGTCAGAATTGCAAAGAACCCTTGCCACAGAAGTTGGGCAAGATTAAAAAAAAAAAAACACTCAGGTACATATCCTAAATATGAAGAGGGCTCTTCTCAACTTGCAATTCTCTACTTTCTGTAACTCCAACTCCATGACACAAAGTGGCGAGAACAGATTTTCATAAGAAGTTCTTAAAGCCCCCCAATATAGGGTATTTCCAGAGTTACATTTTTCTCCCCGTTAATAAGGCAAAAGACAAAATTTTAAAAAATCTATCCCTTCAGAAGTAAATTCTGACAATGTAATAATTTAATCTTGCTCTTCAGAATTTTTGTCACATTTTATAATTATTTCGAGGCTGTAAATACCTTTAAAGAGATAGACATACACATAACATACACAGACAGGAAAGTTACACAAGAATTAGATGCCCTTAAATGCAAACCAGAAATAATAACTTAAACTAGGAAAGATCTGTTTCAAAGCACATACATCTATAATCACTATTGTGTATTTTGTTCTAATGCTGCTTTTTATTTTCAACGAACAATCTTCAGTATTTTTTTTTTAAGATTTTATTTATTTATTCATGAGAGACACAGAGAGAGGCAGGGACACAGGCAGAGGGAGAAGCAGGCTCCATGCAGGGAGCCTGACATGGGACTCGATCCTGGGTCTCCAGGATCAGGCCCTGGGCTGAAGGCGGCGCTAAACCGCTGAGCCATCGGGCTGCCCCACAATCTTCAGTATTCTGGGCTGCCCCACAATCTTCAGTATTCTATTTTCACTGTCCTCTCTTCCAAATTAACAGCGCTCTACAAATCCTGGTGGCATTTGTCTTCCTTACTAGCATTTTATTACCTTTAATTTCTATTCCAAAGTTACTTTTTTGGAATTGTCACTCTAGAAATTACTACTAAATGAACGAGTGTATAAGATATATTATTAACAGGATGTGGAAAAAATTATTACAACAGTAAAGATAAAATAACTTCATAACTAATGCCAGCACTGTGTGTAGAAGCACGGCACAAGCAGGCAGGCAGGGAATACGGCTTCTGAGACACCGTGCTGCCACCATGTGGCCACAGTAGTAACTCAGTTTATAATTCAGTTTAAAAAAAATAAATCTGAGGCATTTGCATTATTTCACACTTTGTAGATTAATTAGGATTTTATTTTTTCAAAATAGCAATGCAATTTGGCATAAAATGCACTGCATTAAGTCAAAAACTACTTGGAAAAAAAAACTATTTGAAACCTTTGTTACAATAGCCTAAAAGTTACTAATATTAAATTCTAGGCATTTGGTCCAATTTTTGGCCTAGATCCCACTCCTCGAGAAGCTATTTGTATCATAAAATTTTGGTTGGGGGAGGCACCTGGATGGTGCAATCAATTAAGCATCTGACTCCTGATTTTAGCTCAGCTCGTGATCTCACAGTTGTGAGATCAAGCCCCACTTCAAGGCTCCATGCTCAGCATGGAGTCTGCCTGAGATTCTCCCTCCCTCTTCCTCTGCCACTCCCACTCATGCTCTCTCTCTAAAATAAATACATAAATCTTTAAAATAAATAAAAATAAAATAAAGCCATATTTAAAAACAGCCTGATAACTGGTAAATATATATATATATATATATATATATATATATTCACACAGAGTTATCAAAACATGCTATCATAGAGAAAATTGTAAATAATCTAGAAGTCTCAAATTGAGGAACATTAAAATGAATACAAATTCTTCATGATAAAACAGTCTACATACATTAAAAAATAATACTAATAGAGAATATGAATTAAAATGGAAAAATATAATATATACTTAAGGCAGTGTATAAAATTGTATATACTATACACTAACAATCATAGCTATGTAGAAAAAGGGAAATGGGATGAGGAAAAAAAAAAAAAAACACCAAACTGTTAACTAAATATTTGGATGAAAGAACTACAAATAATTTTGTTTTCTTCCAGCATTTTATATTTTAGAAATTATCTATAATGGAACATTTAAATTTCATAAGTGCAAAGAACAGCCCAAATTTTTGTTAAGGTACCTGCCACTTGAGAATATCAGTTCTAAAGTTCTATCATATATATTCTCCACACACACACACAAAGAAAATATAATAAAATAAAATTATTAAGTGTTATAAAAATGACCCATAACCTAACCTATCAATATTTATTTTTGGATACTAATTTCCAGTGTTTGTCAAATCTGCATCACACATGCCAATGAATATTTTTGCTATTCAGTTTTTAAACTTACCACCCCCATTAAGAACATTCTAATGGAAACATAACTTCTTGCTATGTGTAAATAGTAAGTTGCCTTATATCACTACAGTGTAATCCTGAAATGTTGACATTTATGCTTGGAGGTTTAGGTGTGCTTTCTTTACCGCTGGGTCAAAAGGTCATCACATAGCTTTCCAAATTGGTTGTTTTAGATCTCTCAGTGCCTGAAAAATGAGCTTATTTTTACTTTTGGACTTCTCTAAGAAATGGAATTGCTAAGTATTTTTAAAAAGGACAGAGATTTATTGAAACTGCCTCTTTTCAGTTATCCCTCCCTGTATTTAGGAACAACCAGCAGAAACTTGCCTTCTATGTGGTCACCATCGAAAGTGGTAATACAAAGCTCTCTGGACTTCTCAGTTACAACAGACCATTCTTTTGAGACTCCTTCTGCTGAAATACAGTAGTTCAAACTGAGGGAGGACACTGGGATCGTAAGGCGGCACTGAGTCTCATTGCAATCATCTTCGTCCTCTATACCCGTTGTGTATGTTGTCTGTATGGGGGAAACAACAACAGAGAAAATGCATGGCTTCTTTCATTCTGCAGAAAACAAAACAAAAACCAAAAAAAGCACCGTATTTATCCTGATCAAACACCTGAAGGAAATTTATGTGGTGTAAGTTGAATAGGTCTGTAAATAGTGTTGATGTCAAACAATAAGTCAATTTGTTATTTCAACACAGTGCTATGCTATGTATCCATGAACATGTTCTTTGTAGTGACAACAAATTTAAAAGCTCAAATAGCAGGAATGTTCAGTTAGTTTTTTTGGTTTTGCTTTTTTTTTTTTTTTTTTTAATAATTTATTTAACAGAGACATAGGCAGAGGAAGAAGCAGGTTCCCTGCAGGAGCCTGCTGCAGGCCTCGATCCCAAGACCCCGGGATCACACCCTGAGCCAAAGGCAGATGTTCAACCACTGAGTCACCCAGGTGTCCCTCACTGTTAGTTGTTAAAGCGACAAATGGTCATTAGTCCTTTGAGAATAGTGCTAAATACCTAGCTGATGAGAGAGAAAAGCATCTGTAGGTAGAATACAAAAGTTATTCTACAATGACTTCGGCTTCTCTTAGCGGTAGTACACAGAAGGCACTGAGCCAGCCTCTGCCAGTTTATCCTTCATTCGAACAGCCAAAGGACAAGCATCACCTGTGCCAGGGAGCGCCTGCACGCACGAAGGCAGAACAGGGGTGCCGGACTGCAAACAACTGCCACCAGAGCAGAAAGACATGTGAGCCACGAGGCCTGCAAAGGAGCTAGGAATCATCGAACCACACAGAAGCAGTCTGTCATGTCAGAAGAGAATTCAAAGGGGAGATGAAATGCTCGCTGAATACTGAAGAGTGAGTAGAAACTTGCCAAAGCTGAGAAGGTGGAGAGGGCCTTCTGGGAAAGAGCATGGCACCCACAGGGAAGGAAGAGCCAAAAGCCACTCACCAAAGCACAAATAAAACATAGGCTGGAAAGAATGGGGAGACAGGAAGCTGGAAAGGACACAGAGGCCAAATCATAAAGGCCTTGTAGGCCGTACCATGAAAGGGAATTTAGATATGATTTTGTAGCTCACGGGGATTTGTGAAGGGATTTTAAGCAGTGAAGGAAGGTTAGGTGTGCACTTCAGCAGGACAACTCCATTAAGCATCCAGAGTGATGTTTTAAAATCTATGTCAAATGTCACTCTTGCTGCTCAAATATTTCCAGAGATGTAACGTCTTTGTCAGAATAACATCAAATCTCTCCAGTGCCCCAAGAGATGTGGCCCCCGGTGACCTCTGACCTCATCTGCTCCATCTTGCTGCTCTTCACACCCAGTGTGCTTCTGCCAGAATCTATGTCTCCCAACAGTTTCCCCATATATACCCATTAAGGCCACCTCCTAACCTCCTCCAGACCTGGCTCCAGTCTCGCCTTTCCCTGTTCTGACCACCCTACGGAAAAGCACTATTGCCCCCAACCCTGCTGCCCATCCCCTGTCCCTGCTCTGTTTTCCTCCATTACATGGAGCACTGGAGCACTGTCTGTACTATTTGCTGCTATCTGCTGGTGCCAGGAACGCACAGAGCACATGCCTGACAAATACTACTAAATAAAGCAACAGCAGCGCTGTGGAGAATGGATGGACTAGAATCATTCCAATCCAAGTGTGGCCTGCACACCACTGTAGTAAGTATATTTCCACAGCAGTACCGCTAACCTTTACTTTCAAAAACAAGGATTCCAATTATAGCTTCGTATTATTTTACATCACTAGCCATGAAGAAGAAAAGATTAAAATTATGTTCATGTTACCAGTGGAGAAATAGAAGTAAACAGGTTTAAAATCCTAGAATAGAGCCATACTGTTAAATGAGGCAAGACAAAATTTAAATGTATCCACCTGCCCAGCATTAGTGATTTACTCCAATACTGACTCCCCTCAACATTTATTTATGTGGTTTTTCTTACCAACACCTATGATCCATAAGTCCTGCCTGAGTGTTCATAAGCATTCTACTTTCGTTACATTACAGAGACAACTTATGCTAGCAACAGAAAAACAGATCAACAGAAACACATACCTCACTTCCATTTATTTTCATATACACAGTATACATGAATGTGTGACAATTATTTTCATCATATATGGGTACTGCCTGTCTTCCACTTATAGCAGTTAAAGGATGAAATAAATCAATAATGATTTGGTTTTCCATTTTTCTGATACCCAGTGCAGGTGGTCCAATTTTCCCTGTCGTGGTGGGGAGGACACACAAAAGCAGAATTAGTAATCCCTGGAACTTCACAGCGCATTACAAAAAATTGCCAAAATCAATCAACCTACTCTTTCTGTTGCTCTAAAGCAGGACCATGTTTAAACCATTCCACAAAGACCTAGAAGATATTCTAAATGTCCTTAAAAAAGAAATGTTAATCTCAAGCAGGAAGTATTCTTATCAATTCTAAACTCTTTAATAGTTTAAAGTCACTTCTAGTCCAAAAGGTAAATATTGTTTTACAAGGTTAAAAAAACCTTGACATAACAGTAAGCTCTATCAGGATATTTTTCCCTTTTTTGTGGTTCTGCAGATAAAAAGGAAAATCTTTCTCTCAAAAAATGTTTCAGAAAAGGCATTTTAGTTACCTTTGCACACTCACTGAAACTCTTTGTATTACCAATATCTATGGACGTCTGGCATGAAGGCTCTTATAAAAGCTTGCTAAATATGTTGAACTTTTATTGTGAAAATTAAAACTAGATATTCATTCATTCATTCAGCAAATGCTTATGATTATGTGTCACCAATGCTTAACACTTTGTTGGTGAATCATTTACCTATTCTTCATGTGTTTATTGCCCACTTACTATGTGCCATGCAGGTCTGTTCCTCAGGGCCTGGCATACTTTCTAGCACAGTGTGCCCTTGATAAATCTGATGGTGTAGCTATCAGATGACAAAGGCATGGACTCTGGGATATAACATTTTTTCAAGGGCAAGTAAAGGAAGGGCCTCTAATAAGTAAGCACAATCTAAAGAGCAGGAGCAGAACCAAGGCTATGGTGGAAGAAGCAAAGAAGGAAGTAAAGATGGATAGCAAGGCACAAGGCCTAGAGTACTGGAGAGGACAAAGTGATCGTTTCTTTACTCATGAGTGAGGGTATGAGAGCTACACAGTAGGATTTTGATCAGAGCAAAGGAATGGGCCATGAAGATTTTGGAGCCTGAGGCAATAACTAAGATCAGGTATATCACGGGAATGCGTGGCTGGCAGAAGTCAGGGCTGAAAATCACTGGGGTTGAGGAGATGATAGAAATCTAACATTTGTTAATGTATTAAGTTGGTAGATAAAATTCCTCAAGGTCTTGGGGACTAGGCACAGTGTGGAAGAGGGAGACGTCAGTGAGTATAACTCAGCAAGGAGTGATAGGGAAGGGGGTGAGGGGGAAGGCTCCTAGAGAGTCCCTGAGGGCAGCACTGACCCATGCTTTCAGGGAGTGGAAATGTAATTGTTTAGAAGGGGTACAGTGATGGGCACCTCTCAGCCCAATTTTGTGGGGGCTTGGGCAAACAGGAAGACACAGACTCCCTAAATTCCTCCAACGATTTCTTGTGATTATTTTCAGCAAGTGCTAATAAAAGCAAATCTATATAGAAGATATGCGTAAATATTTTCAAATTTCAAAGATCTACTCACCTTGTCGACATAAAATGAATTCTTTTGATTCTACATAGGCTGATTCTTTTTGCCCAAGCCTAGCTTTAACTCTGGCCCAGAGAGAAAGTGATGGATCATTAATTACAGGAAAAATATTACAGTACTGATCTGAGGTGTTGCAGGCATCAATCCATACTGCTTCCCTAAAATTAGGAATAAAGAAACACAACAGTAACATTTACTGTCAATATACAAACTTGAATAATCTCTGTCTGTGCTTTGCTTTTCACGTACAGCATGGAGCTGGTAGAAAGAACTGATCAAGGATAGGATGGAGAAGCCAGACAAAGTAGGAAGTCTTACTCTGGTCAGAAGTACTAGAAATCCCTTTACAATAAAGAGGCTCAATTCAAAATACAACACCTGAACAAAGCACATTCCACATACACTTTTTAAAAATCTGATCTTTAAACCACTCTAGATTCTGTGAACATAATCATTACTTGATTGCAGAATCTAACGTATTACAGAGACTCCTGACACTTGTTGAAAATTTTTTTGAAATTTTTATCTTTCTACTCAATAATACATTTACTATGGAAAGTAAGAGGACATCTTTTTTAAAAAAATATATTTTATGTATTTAGTTATAAGAGAGACAGAATGAGAGTACGGGTAGGAGCAGAGAAGAAGGACAAGCAAACTCCACGCTGAGTGCAGAGCCCGATGTGGGGCTGGATCCCACGACCCTGAGATCTAGCCTGAGCCCTGTGTCAAGCCCGAGCCCTGAGCCAGAGCCCGGAGTTGGCCTATCTGCTCAGTGGAGAGTCTACTAGAGGATTCTCTCTCTCTCCTCTCCTCCCAGTGCCCCTCTCCCCATCAGCACACATACATGTGCACTCTCTCTCTCTCTCAAATATGTAAGTCTTTAAAAAAAAATCTCAGAAGTCAGGACTCCTCTACTTCAATTTTGATAGAAAGAAGAATTAAGAGGCAGGAATACTCTGAAAATAACTAATCTGCATCCTTAGCACTTCTGGAAGTACAAGCAGTTTAAGAAGTTCTTCCACATGGGAAAGAAAGATGATGAGAAAAAACAAAGTTATGGGTAGTATAAAGAGCTAGACAAAAACAGAATTAAAAAGATAAAAGAGTAACACTTACCCATAGTTCTTTACCTGTACAGTAAAAACAGGAGTCTGTGGCATGGGTGGGTAGTTCCAAAATAGGACAGTATTAAAGTTATAGGCCTCAATTGTAATATTGGTTGGTACTGGCACTGTAAGAGATTCAAAAAGTAAAATGGACAACTGTAAGAAACTAACATTAACATTAGAAAACCTTGTAAGGAGCCATGTTAGCCAAATATGTATTTTGAAGAAAAGCAGAATTCACCAGAACAAATACAATTATTTAAATTGAGACTTACAAAAACTAATTTTATTGGAAAATGTATAGAGTTCTGGTTCATTCTAAATTCCTAAAACACTGTAATATGAGGTAAATACAAATATAGTAGAGGCAATAAATCTCTATAATGTCTTTAGGAGTTTTTATAAATAAATGCACTGTCTGTTGTAATAATAATCTTTGATTCATTTACTCACTAGAATTTCCCATATTTGAAACCACAGATTGCCTTCATTGTCTAGAGGAGAACTGGTTATGCCAGGGAGGGGTATTTTCATTCTAAAATACCACGTAGGCGCTCAGCCCTCACCTGGTATTATCACACACCTTGGCACCTTTCCTAATAGCACAGGAATCGAGGCCTCACTTGGCTCCAGGAGCCATTCACCTTGTCAGTTCCATTAACTCTTTGCTCTCTGAGGTGTGAAGGGCTCGTTACAAAACACACCTAATATTTCTTCTTGCCTTTGCTCTTGTAAACCATTTCAGAAAATGTCTGCTGAGAAGATGGGAGTCATGAGAGAACAGGCAGGAGTCACTTTGATATCCTGTAACTAATTATCAAAACCAGCCACTTACTCCTCTGTGCAGTGTGAAAGGCTGCTGACCACCACCCCTTGGGAAACAATCACACATACATCTCCTCCCTTCCTCCTTTTCTCTCTCTCCCTCCTTCTTTCTCTCCCTTCCTACCCTTCTTTGTGAGTCAACAGGAAGATACAGAGTTGGCAATATGACCCCAATTTTAAGAGTATTCAATCCTACCTACCTGAACACCATGAAACGTAATTTACAATTACAATTAAAATAAATGAAAGGATGGCACTGTGGTCAGGTACAGTGGCTTCCAAACATAACTTATTATCAGCCTCAAAAATTCTGAGAGAGCCAAAAATTTATTAAAAAAAAAAAAGAAAAGAAAAAATTCCCCAGCACAGCGCACCTGGGTGGCTCAGTTGGTTAGGCATCTGGCTCTTAATTTCGGCTCAAGTCAGGATCCTATGGTCCTGGGATTGAGCCCTGCATCGGGCTCTGCACTCAGTGGGGAGGTGACTTGTGATTCTCTTTCTCCCTTAGCCCTCCCCCTCCCACACACTCTCTCTAAAATAAATAAATGAATATTTTTTAAAAAATAAAAATAAAAATTCCCTAGCTGACAATGATGATTACTTGGAGTTATATAAAGTGGACTGTTCTAATAAAAAATATTCCCTGGATTGGACATTAAGAAATGTGGGTTCTTTCCTAGTCATTTCAGACTTCCTAATCTGATACCTGAGGTGTTAATTTCACATACATAAAGTATTTGCTTACTTTTGAAGGAAATGTCTACAGTATTTTTTCCCCAAAGCAAAATTCCAATATTCAAACCCAAACTGGTACATTGCTTTAATTTACAATTATTTAAACTTGTATAATTGTTTTAAAACAGAACACAGGGATGCCTGGGTGGCTCAGCGGTTAAGCCTCTGCCCTTGGCTCAGGGTGTGATCCTGGGGTCCCAGGATTGAGTCCCACATCAGGCTCCCTGAGTGGAGCCTGCTTCTCCCTCTGCCTGTATCTGCCTTTCTCTTTCTGTGTCTCTCATGAATAAATAAAATCTTAAAAAAAATAAATAAAACAGAACACAGATCCAGAATTATTTCAGTAAAAAATAGAGTTATGAACAATTAAATTCTACACCTTTTTCCTTCCTTTTATGATTATTTTCCTTTGTAACAGTGGTTTTCAACAGGAGGTGATTTTTGTCTCCCAGGGGACATTTGGCACTGTCTGGAGACATTTTTGGTTCTCACAACTGAGTGGTAGTGGTAAGGTGCTACTGACATCTTGAGAATAGGGGCCAAGAATGTGAAGTATTCTATAAAGGCACAGGACCGCTCTCCATGGTTTGGCAGTCCAAAATGCCAACAGCACTAAAGTTGAGGGATCATGCTTCATATGTTCACAACTTTAGGAATTTTTAATTATTGCTTAAGAGGAAAAACTAAATTAAAAATAGAATCCTTTTGATAAACCAATATATTACATGGCTTCCTCACAATGAATACCTTTGGTTTTCATTTTTGTCTAACTTCTACAACTACTTATCAAAGCACTGTGACAATTTGTGCCAAAAGGTTGAGATTATGAAGCTGGAGGAGGTCTCACAGATTCAAACACTGCATGCTTATAGTATGCTGCTTCTTTTCCTTTTTTAAGATTTTATTTATCTATTCATGAGAGACACAGGGAGAGACAAGCAGACACAGGCAGAGGGAGAGAAGTAGGCTCCCTCTGGGGAGCCTGATGTGGGACTGGATCCCAGGACTCTGGGATCACGACCTGAGTCGAAGGCAGACTCTCCTGCTGAGCCACCCAGGTGCTCCTAATATGCTCCTTCTGTAGCCAGTGATCAGACACCTACAAGTTTTCTATTTACTCTTCCTGAAATACTGCTGACAGCTATTGGTTCCTAGCATCTCTGGTTCTCTAAGCAATTTTCTTGCAGGTGAGCCAGACAACACTGGGCTTGGCAGATTTAGCCCTGATTCTTCTCTTTTGGTTTCGGTAGAGCTCCATGGCATACTTAGCAGGGCCTACTGAGGCTTCTTTATTTGGTTACTTTAAGCAGATTTTTGGATGTTTGCACCTCAACTTCATGAAACAACCTAGTCTCAGAGAGCCTACAATCTGTGGGGAGGAAATAAATACAAGGCACCCCCCCACACACACACACTCCTCAGGGTCAAATCAACATTAATATCAAATAATATAAACAGGGGTGCCTGGGTGGCTCAGTTAAGCATCTGCCTTTGGCTCAGGTCAGGATACTGGGGAAATGGGATTGAGCCCCATGTGGAGCTTCCGGCTCAGCAGAGAGTCCACTCCTCCCTTTCTCTCTGTTCCTCCCCTGGCTTATGCATGTACTATGTCTTTCTCAAATAAATAAATAAAATCTACAAAAAAAAATAATATTGTGGCACTAGTGGAGCATCTGCCTTCTGCTCAGATCGTGATCCTGGTGTCCTGGGATCAAGTCCTACATTGGGCTCCCTGCAGGGAGCCTGCTTCTCCCTCTATGTCTTGCCTCTCTCTGTGTCTCTCATGAATGAATAAATAAAATCTTTAATAATAATCATCATCACACATATAAACATTATTTTTAACCAGGTAAAAGAGGAGGAACCTGATGCTATGAAAACTCACACTGAATGTGAACTTCTCTCAAAAGCCATTTCTTAACTTCAGCATCTCTTGCCTCTTCAGAGACTGAGAATTTTCAAACCTTCAGGCCCTGGTTCTTTTTTAACAGCCCTTCTTTTGGTTACTCTTTCTATTCTTGCGTTTTACCACCAGGAGCAAGAAGAAACCATGTGGCACTTTCAGCACTGCTTGGCAACCTCCTGGCTAGGTCTTGAACTCAACAAGCACATTTCCTACTCTTCCTGCTATTTATTAAAGGCAACGGTGTCCCTAAGCTTTCTGCCTCTGGTAACAAGGGCGTGCTTTCCTCCAGTTTCCAAAAATGAAGAGTTCTTCACTGCCTTTTAAGTCTCTTTTAAAAAAAATCATTCCCAATAGGAATGACTTAACTGTACAGACTCACACTGAGATTCCTATATTCAGGGAACAGGCATATAGAATATTAAATAAAGCACATTTACATTTAAGAAGAAGTTACTGAATCATAGTTATGAAACCACAAACAGGGGCACCTGGGTGACTCAGTCCTTAAATGTCTGCCTTTGGCTCAGGTCAAGATCCCAGGGTCCGAGGATAGAGTCCAGCATCAGGCTCCCTGTTCAATGGGGAGTCTGCTTCACTCTCTCCCTCCACCTCTGCCTGCCACTCCCCCTGCTCTTGCTTTGTCTCTGTCAAATAAATGAATAAATAAAAAAATAAAATAAACAAAAACACACAAACTAAAAACCCCACAAAGTAGCCTGGCACACTAGGTTGGTTAGGTGTGCCAACCAATCCCATGATTTGAGTTAAAGCTTGACTTGGTTGACTAGAAAAAGGGCTTACATCACAGCTTTCAAAGCAAAACGAGACAGGTGGTGGGAAGAGGAGGTTTCAATGGATACTAACAGACCTTACCATTCTACTAAAGGGGAAACTTTGAATATATACACTAAAGGATGTAACTTGTGGTTTTATGCTACCAGCAGAGAAACCATGTGGTTATTACACATCTGCCTTTGTCATTATTTGCCAAACTCTCATGATAAGTAGACATGAGTAGTTTTCTATTGTTTCAGAAGTTTGTGACCTAAAGTTTAAATTGTTTTATTTTATTTTTTTAAAAGATCTTATGTATTTGTTCATGAGAGACACAGAGAGAGGGGCAGAGATGTAGCAGAGGGAGAAGCAGGCTTCATGCAGGGAGCCCGATATGGGACTCAATCCTAGGACTGCGGGATCACACCCTGAGCCAAAGTCAGGTGCTCAACTGCTGAGCCACCCAGGCGTCCCTTAAATCATTTTATATTCAAATTAAAATAATTAAGGCTTACAGCAAACTTCTATTCAAAATAAATTTTTATTTTATGTCAATAAAAATATATGTAGAAATAGCAAGAAAGGATTATCTGTGGTGTTTAAGGAAAAGTATCTCATCACATAAAATAATCTTACAGATTTCTCTTGAAAATGATACAGATAGTTTTCTGTAACTCATGTTGTTTTGGAAATGAGTTCCGTTATTTGGTGCATGCTACCTAGAATAAACTTTTGCTGTTTTAAAATCTGCTTCTCAGAATGCCTCTGAACAGCTGAGGATTTAACAAAACCAAACACAGTAAAGAACAATCCGTTTTTTGTACCACTCTACAATGCGGGGTGGGGGGGAGCTCTGGTTACAACCAACTGTTTCCTCTTGATAAA